GTGGCGAACATGGCGCTTGTCCCCTGCCAGGTGCTGCGGGTGGCCATCCTGCTGTCCTACTGCTCTATCCTGTGCAACTATAAGGCCATCGAAATGCCCTCGCATAAGACCTACGGAGGGAGCTGGAAGTTCCTGACGTTCATTGATCTGGTAAGGCCGCGCCCTCCCCTCTCCCCGTGCGCCCTGCACCCGGTGCCAGTGTGTGTTTGTGGGTGCGCGAGCATTGTCGCGCGTGCGCGCCTCCAGCACCCAACCTTGTCTCGCCTCTTCCCCAGTGATTGCGTCTAAGGGCTTGGCCGCCCCCGCAGTGGCACATCCAGAACCACCCACCGTTACCTGGTGGCTGGGGGACCAATGGAGGTGGGGCGCAGCCAGGTGGTGGGGTGTTTGGAGGGGGACGCAGAACTGCTCCTGAGAGATGACACAGGAAGATTCTTCACGTAACAAAAGCATCGGACGACCTTGACCATGAATGGCCTGGACCCATTCGCTCTCAAGGTGCTTCCCAGAGCACCCATCGTGGGATAAACTTGAAGCAACTGAAGGAAACTGGGTATTGTCTAGTTATGTGGCGTTTCACCCGAAAAGACCCAAATCCTCTCCCTAAGGGAGAGAAAACACCTAATAAAGTTGTCATTTTTGCATCTGTTTTTTGCCCATTGTCAGTAATTTACTCCAACTTTCCCCCCAGAAACATTAGGCAGGAGAGAATTTCAAAATTGTAAAAGTTTGCATAAGCAGCTCCTCTGTTGGCACAGTATGCTAGTCTTGACAGGTGCAGGTTGTGGTAATTATTTTTAAAGCTTATACTTCTGACACCAAAAGAGTTCCCGCAGAGAATTAAAACATGGTATAAATCCAATAATGAGTGGCTGGACCTAGGAACTATGGGGGGAAGATAGGGTTCCCTCACACTCTAAAGGGTTATCAGGAAGAGGGTTAAAAGCAAAGCTGTGAAGTTCTAGAGAACCCTGTTAGAGAAAATGGAGAACCAATTCCAAGATCATACACAAAGCTGGCTCCTCTAGCAAGATGATAATCTTTTGTTGACTTCATTTTGATGAAGAGAACTTGATACCTGGTTTAAGATATGCCCAATGATTTAGGATCCTGCCAAAAAAAAAAAAAAATGCAATCAGAGGCTTTTCCTTTAGAAACACCGCCTAATTATTTGCATTATATTAAATATTTTTCAGAGAGGAATTTAAATTCTTTTCCCAGCAGTCTCCAAACTGTGCACATACCTTGAGACACACAAAACTTTCTGGGGCATAAGAGTGGTGCAAGAGTTTCAAGTTTCAGATCCTCAACTTCCACCTCCTTCTTGAAACTAATCTGCCTCTGAACTGCCTGCCAGTTGTCCTTTCTTATTCCCCATTCATCCAAGTGGGAAGCACGGGACAAGGGTCTGTACTGCATTTTTCTTTCTGTTCCTTTTAGCATTCAGAAGATAGATGGCTGTCACCAGGACTATCTTCATACTAGATTGAAAAATGAAGTTGGAGTTGTTTTGACAGAAAGTCTTCTTAGGTTGATTGGCTTGTCAATGAGGACTGGCTTTGCCAATTATTTTATTTAGCAGACATTTTCCAGGGATTGAATGAGCTAAACGAGGTTCTGGTACATATGTATATAAAGATAAAGCAAGTATACCCTATATAGACTGTCACAAAGCATGTCCCTTTTTACCAAGTGTTTAAACTTACGTAAAGATGTTTAGATGCTATTTAAAAATATGTGCATAGATTTTCAGAATTCTTTTAGGGGCTCTGTGAGCAAAACTTCTTTTGGTTGACAGCCTTTTCCCATTCTTAAATGAGATCTCACTGAGAGCTGGCCCATTTGAGAGTTGCCAAGGAGCAGTGCTGAGCTAAAATACTGATGGAGCTGCTACCAAAGCCCCTTTGGTACCTACCATAAACAGCTCTCAGCAGCACCCTCGCAGAAGATGCTATATTTTGGCATAAGAGGGAGGGAGCAGAAATCAAGGGTGTTGGCTAACCTGAGAAAGATCTGTTTCTCACGTTCACATTGCTTACTGCATGTTGAAATAGAAGGCTCACAAGAAACCATATACCTCTCCTAACCTCTGTGTGACATGAAACTGTAGTAGAATCAATTTGATATGTTTGTTGTACAATTTATATTTTAGGATTTGATGATTGGACTTGCCTATTTTATATAACACTAATCACCATAAATACTTTTTTGTATCCCAGAATTCAGGCAATACATTCCAGTGTGAAACTTTTACTTTGTTTCGTATTTAATTCCAATCTGTATAGGGCCCTTTAGCCAATTGGTCAAACTTTTTACTCTGTGGCTCTTGATAGAAATATGATAATTATCTTTAACCAAGAGTTCCTGTGAGAGAGTATGTCTAAAATATATTCATGAGAACACTCATGCAAAGTGCTATTCTTTTTATTATTCAAGATTTAGAGTCCTCAGAGCTTAAGCGTTGTACAGCTGTTAAAACAACCAATCTGTCAATCCTTGGTAATGGCATGAGAAGATTAAGATACTATAATTTGGCTATTTAACTTTTCTTTTTTTTATGTTAAGAAAACCCAGTAAACTTTATTATCTAGTGCCTTATACAATTTTTAATGATTCTAAGTTTATTGGTGTAATTTTGGAAGGTTAACTTCTCAGAATTTTAATAAGAAGGCCCCTTTTCTAGCCAGTTTGGATTGCAGAGAGTCAGGGCATTTATCCTGATGGCCACAGTTGGGTTCCATATTCCATGGCGTCAGTTACCAGGATGTGAGTCAGGATTCTCAGGCTACACATATCCAGGAGCACATGGATATGTGGCAGTGTCCATTCCAGCTGTGTTCTCTTTCTCTAGCAATGAAAAACTGCAAGAGAGCTACAGTGCTTTTGGGAAACGCAAATTATTAAATGGAAAAAGAACACTAGCTTGGTTGGGTAGGCAGAGTAATGGGCCCCCAAAGATGTCCATGTCCGAATGCCTGTGCCCTGTGACTATGTTAAGTTATATGGCAAAGGGGAATCAAGATTGCAGATGGAATTGCCAATCAACTGACCTTAAAATAGGGATATTACCCTGGATTATCCAGTTGGGCCCAGTATAATTACAAGAGTCCTTAAAAATGAAATAGGAAAACAGAAGAGACATCTGGGCAAAGATGCGACTGGAAGGGACAGTCATAGAGAGATGCAACAATGCTGGCTGTGAAGAGAAAGCATTGAAATAGATTCATGAGAACTATGGGCACCATGGGAACGTGGAAGTTGTCTAGAAGCTGGATACCTCAGAGTTTCAAAGTTCTAAAGTCTAGAACTTCTCCTCTAGTGCTTCTTGAAGGAATACAGCCCTTTTGAAACCTTGGTTTTAGCCCAGTAGGACCTCCTTCTGACCTCCAGAACTGTAAAATAATAAATTTGAGTTGTTTATGCCACGACATTTATGATAATTTGTTACTACAACCTGTACACCTGGCTTTAAAGCCTCTGACCTAGGGAAAAAAAACTTATATGTGTAATTGATAACTGGTTAATTTTAGCTTTAACTACAATACAGGCATTGACTACTTCATCTATGAAAGTATGCGGAGGAGATACCCATACATGTATCATGTATGTACGTATAAAAATGGGCATTATGAGAATCTCTAAAGATTGAACAACATTGGAAAAACTAGGTCTTTCCTTTACTGTGAAATATCTCAGAAGCTATTGTTATGTAACATGCCAGGCCATGGGAAGGAATACTCTTAACTGGAAATAAACTGGAAAGAAAGGAAATTTAAGCTGACTAATCTTCAACTATTTCCTTAGTGTCACAGCTGGTGAATTTTCTTCCCACGATGCACTATTAATTCACTTATTCACTAGCTAGATGATTCTCCAAGTTACATGATAATTAATACCAAATAAAAAGGAAGCAGCAGAATAAAACCAGCATAAATAAAAGAAAATGGCCACTGTAGTTTGAGAACTCAAAGTAGTGGTTGGACTATGATAGGTGTTTAGTCAAAGTTTGAAAAAATGGAAAATTTCTCTTTTGAATGATATTCTTTTCTTGTTCTCCCCAAATCTTCCAGGGTAATAGCAATTAAAAAAAATCATCAACCACTGGCGGCATCTGTGGCTCAAGGCATGGGGCACCAGTCCCCTATACTAGGGGTGGAGGGTTCAAGCCTGGCCCCGGCCAGAACTGCAAAAAAAAAAAAAAAAGTCAACCACAACCATATTTAAGTGCGTAGTGTACACTTATTATTTTTAAGGCTTATGTACTTTTGGCATATAGGGTAGACTAACAAATGAGTCAGAATCAAGTTGTTTGAAAACCATGAACTGGACATCTGTTATATAAAACTTGATATTGGATTTATGACTTCTGGATTTTTAAAGGTTGAAACAGAGTGAAACAGAGGTCTGGCTGGCTCATTTGCTCTACTCTGTGTCACTCGCTGTTCTGAGAGTCATCATTTCCTAGCGCTGTATCATGCTCAGATATATCCCCTGCCCTCACTTGTCATTCATACATTGGCAGATTGTCCTGGTTAGACCCTGCCTCCTCCAAGTGGGAGCTGAGAACCAGCAGGATCAACTTTCTCTGGGAGCCTGATAGAAATGTGGCATCACCAGCTCCACCCCAGATCTTCTAAGTCAGAATCTGCATTTGAATAAGATCATTAGATGATTCCCAGATACATTCTAGTTCATAAGTGCTGCTCTGGCCCACACTGATTTTGTGTTGTACTTTAATATGGAACAGCTGTAGGACCCAGCCTTAATATATTCTGGCTACTTTCAGAACATACTTAAGGTGACTTTCACTGTGACATAATTCAAAACATGTGAAAAACGACAGGTTGAAAATAAAAGAAAGAGAAATATATGTATCAGATATCAGAGATGAGTTAGTTATTACAATTGAGAAATAAATTTAAACCATCTTCAGGGCATTCAAGGCAAAAAAGGATGAATTGTATTATCTCTGGTGCTGGAATGAAGGAAGCATAACAATTTATCAGGAAAAAAAAAATTCTTTCCAGGCACTGACCTTTCAAGGTTATTTATTACTCAGATCCTTTTATAAAGAACATCAGGTAGCAAAGTAGATAATGCCTTAGACTGGTTTTTCGCAGAATATTTTGAAATATTCTTACAGTTGATAT